CCCCCCCCCCTGCGACGGTGAATTATACATCCAACGACCACTCTCGCCCTCTTTGTGTGCGTATGTGCATGTATGTGTATGATGCCCAATGGTAAAATGTAGGGGCGGGACCAAGAGGGAGGGGAGGGTGTATTATGCTTCTCTTTTGTCGGGCCCGCTGGCGCGTGCCCAGGCACGCGCCAGCCCCAAGTGGGAAGGGGCCTTCTCAACGGCTACCAAGGCCCGAGCGCTCGCGACGGACCAGGACCTCGATGTTGTCTACCTGACCGGAGCCATCCCGGCCGAGGCCCTCGCCCGAGCGCCAGCCCATGCGCTCCAACATTTGCCGGCCGACATTGGTGGCGTCGATGGGCGGGGCATCGGCACCAACCGCCATCCCAGGCAGGGGGGTCTGGTACTTGCCCAGCCGCGGGCCGGCAGTCCCCGCGGGAGAGCCAATGTCCCGGCTTGGACGAACCCCAGTCCCGGCCGGGGTCATCAGTGAGGACACATCGCTCAGACGCTCGCTGGACCAGAACTGCCGCCACAGGGCCGCCGGTTGTGTCGGCAGGGAGCCCTTTTGGCGCTTGGGCTGGGCCGGGGACAGCTGAAGGGCGGCCACCGACATTGGCAGGGTCTGCTGAAGGGCCTGCTGCTTTTGCTCCTGGCGCATTTGTCGCTTTAGCTCCCGACGAGAGGGGACCGGCTGTGGTGCCACCTCGCTCGGAGGCAAAGCCCCAAGGGGAACCAGTGAACTGGCCGTCGGAGTCCGGCCCCAGACCGCCGGGGCCGCCTCGTTGGCCGACATGCCGGGGGTGGTATCGTGGAAGAACTCGAATGGCTCCAACTCGCAATCCGGATCTGCCGGCGGGGGACTTGGGGATCCCATGCGGAAGGTGAAGACCTCCTCCTCAGCAGGGGCACTGTCCGCCGGGGCGTCGACATCTGATTGGCGGGGCTCCGAGCCGGGCTCTTGGCCTTCTTCCGGGGGCACCGGAGACCCGGACCAGGACCCTGCCTGTGGCTGGTCCACCTCCATCGGCGCCGAGGGGGAGGGATCGACCGACCAAGTACCGGAGCCATCGTCAGACTCGGCCCCGGATTCGGACCGGGCATCCGGGCGGCCGACTGGCTCATCATCCAGGAAGATGGAATCGTCCCCGAAAAGCGGATCATTCATGGTCCCGGAAAGCACCGCCGGCCGGGAGAAGGACACAAAGCCGGATTCCAGCCGTGGGTGATTCCGAGACTTGCGGCCATTCGGACCGGCGTTCAGGGCAGGCACCTTGGCCAGCTTCCGCCGGAGGATGCTCCCCACGGCGCTGTCAAACTGGGACATCAGCCCAAGCAGACGCCCGCCACGGGCCCCGATCGGCCGGCCGGCCTCGGTGAGGTCGGCCGACGCCGCGCGTGACCGCCGGCTCCGGTACACAGACAGGTGCTTGTAGTTGCCCTTGCCGGCCACCTTGTGCGTGAGCCCCAGGTGACTGAGGATGTCCTTGACAGAGCTCCGGAGCTCCGGGGCCAGCAAGACCGCCGGAAGGGCGATGCTGAGGGCCGAGCGCGTGCGGCGGCAACGAGCGAGGGGGGGGGGGCGAGGCAGAGGGGAAGAAAGACAGCCGTCAGAGGGGGGGAGGGGGGCAGCGAGGCAGAAGGGAGGAGCAGGTGGCCCGGAGATGGCGGGAGCGAGACAGAGAAGCAGGCGAAAGTGGCCGACCGGGAGGCAGGAATCACCCCACCCCCGACACAACAACCAGCAGCATCAGCAAACATACTTCTCACAATGTGGCGAGGCCGTGAACTGGTCCAGCCACGACACCAGCGGCGCAGCCGTGCCGCCCATCTGTCCGGCGAACAGGCGCTGCCAACAGATCAGCAGTGATAGATCATTGACCGAGCCATCGGATGAGGAGGCCGGCCGCAGGACATCGACCGCCACCCCGAGGCTGGCCAGCAAACTCCGGTGTAGCATGCCCTGGGCCTTGAGCTGAAGCGACCGGAATTCCGCCCGCTCATGGGGCGTCAGCTGGCCGAAGTCCACCCCGGCCCCGTGGCCCTCCGAGGCGTTGGCCGAAAGCTCGCGGGCCATGGCCTGTGCATCGGCCGCCGGGAGCGGGAGACCGATGGGCAAGTGCGCCGACAGGACTGCCAGCTGGGCAATGGCGTCGTGGCGGTGACGCGCCGCCGCCCGCCGCCCGGATGAGGGCGTCATGGGCGCCATTGGGGGTGTCGATGCCGGCGGAGGCAGCTCCATGGACGCGGCGCTGGTCGCAGCACGACGAGCCTCGCGAGCCATCTGGGCCTCAGTGGGAGCCTGGCTGGGGGCGTTTGCCGGTGCGTCGACAGGTGCCACCTCCACGCCGGCATCATCATCATCATCATCATCACCATCATCATCATTGTCGTGGTCGTGGTCGTGATCGTCATCGTCATCGTCGGAGGAGGATGAGGAATCGGACAAGTTGCCGGCCGGAGTGAACCCCCGGACGCCAAGATCACGGCCCCGGTGGCCGGCAGGGCCACCGCTGCCCGGAGGGTCGCCTTCGTCTCCACCGGGGGCCGGCTCGGACGTCGCTCTGACCAGGGTCAGGGGCGGTCCCAGGGCGGCCACCGACAGCCCGGCCACCGTGGCCGGGACCTGCGAGAAGCCGGAGTCCAGGGCCAGGCGCAGGATCTCGGAGAAGACGGCATCCTGCAGGACCGCATGGGCGCGGATTTGCCCGGCGCCCTTCGGCTCGAAGACCCGGTCCCCGGTCGGCAGAGTGCCCACCCGGTAGCCCATGAGCCGAAGGTGGGACTTGCTGGGGGGGGCCAAAAGTTGGCCCTCATGCACTCGACCCACAAAGGCCTCCATGGTGTAGTCCAAGCCCAAGCCCTCGAGGGCTGCCTGGATCGAGGGCTGCGCCCATGCCAGGTGCCGGAGGACGTGCGCCAGCAGGATGCGGAGGACTTGCTGGTAGACCTGCCCGGTCAAAGAGGGCGACCGTGACCGGGCGGCAGCCTGGCCCTTGGTTCCGGAAGACAGGCGCATCCGGGCCACGGACACGAAAAGCGGGTGGTTATTGACCGCCCGATCGAGGAAGGCACGTGCAGACCGGGCGTTCGGCGCGTCGAGCCGCGAATCGCCCACATACCCCCGCAAGGAGGGCAGGTTCTTGCGCTTACCATTCGAGGCGGGGGAAGCGTCACCCCCGGCGGGGAAGGATCCAAGAGTCAACTTGAGATCCACCAGCAGGGCCAGGTGGAGGAAGGGGTCACGCTGGCATGCCGCATGCACGACGCCAGACCCGGCAAGGTGGGGGATCGCCTTCGGGGCGGGGACATCGGCGCCCGGGCGGAAGTCCGTCAAGAACAGGTCCCGGATGTCCGAGGCTGGCGGCCGGTCGAAGGCCCACGGGACCGGGATCCTCGGGGCTCGGCGTCGAGACCCCCGGGCCTTGCCATGGTGATCGATCGGCGCCGATGCGCGGGGCCTCTGCCCGAAGGACTGCAGATGCTGGGCCAGGCACATGTCGAGGGGGTTCTCCGGCTGGAGGGCCTCCTCCATGCTGTCATAGTCGTCCTGGTCGTCGGAATAGTCGTCCATGCTGTCGTCATCGCTCTCGAGGCCCGGGGCATTGGCGTCCCCCCGGTGGCTGTGATCGGCAGCGCCATCATCATCCTCAGCATCAGCGTCCTCGGAGGCGTCCGAGTCGCTGCTGGACATGAGAGCATCGATGAGCTTGCTGTAGGCCGCGTCTGACAGGGGGTCGCCCTCATGGGCCAAGGCGAACAGGGGATCCTCGGCGGCATCCTCCGGGCCCGCGTCATCGGTGCTGCCATCACTCGAGTCGGACAACTCCTCGGAAGACCCCTTCAGCGCGGACAGCAGGGACCAGTTGGTCAGGGGCAGGTCATCGCCGCCGAGGGTCATCTCATCCTCGGACGAAGAGGAGTCAGCCTGGGCCCGTGGCACCGGGGCCGGTGCTGAAAATCCATCGCCGCCACATCCGCAGAGGGGCCATCCATGTCAGGGCCGGGAGAAGTGCGCAAACAAAGAGAGGGAGAGAAGGGGAGAAGGAGCGGATGCAGAGGCATGGCCCAAGGTGCCGGAGTCGTACTATCATGCCGGATGATGGTCGCCCCTTCCAGGAGCGACGCTGGTGGGCGGAAGTCCAGATGCTTGCTCTTGTAGCGCGGCCGGGAAGACAGCAGCTTCGAGTATTTACGTCGGGTGGCGGGTTGAGTAGCACTCTGGACGGGACTCGGGTCGGGATGGGGGGCAGGCAAGTTTGCCTTGGCCTGCTGGTCCTGGCGGTCTTGAAAGGACTTCAGGGCATTCTGGCGGCGGCGTGGCTTCTTCATCGAAGACACGGTATCGGTCATCGCAGACGGGGGAAAGGGGGCAACAGAAACAGGAGGCAATCGAAAGAGAGATGGAGAAGGGGGAGGGAGCCACAGAAAAGAAGGGGAGGGGGGGGGCGGATGGTGGATGCAGGGCGAGGCCGGTAACCTTCGGGGAGGTGCGACATAATTGGCCTCCTCTCCCCGCACCGGCGGGGAGTCGTGCCAGTCTGCCCTGCCGCCCCCTCCGTGTCCTCCTGGCCCCATTGCTCTCCCCCCTTCCGCCCTGAATGTGCCGTTTTCTCTGCTCGCCAGTCGGAGAAAGATCGCGCCTCCCCCCCCCCCCCCGCCCGACCGACGCAATCGATCACCTCGAAGCCGCCACGCCGCTGGGTGGCGTCGATATTGCGTCGGCACCAGTGGCGGCGTTCTCTTGACCCGCCCCTCTTCGGACGGAGCGGCAGGACGGGAGGGGCCTGGCCTGCTTCCTTCCCGCCCCCCGAGCCCCATGGATCTCGGCTCCCATCGGCATTGGAGTCAGGTGACAAGAGGGAGCCAGCATGTGGGCCCCCTTTCAGGCCGATGGACGCGCTGCATCTAATTCCGCCGCAGGGCCAGCCTCCCGGCCGGAAACGCAAGGTGGCGGACACGCCATAAAATCACCGACACTCGTCCGCCCTCGCGCCCGTCCCGGCCCCCCCTGAGGCTGCCGGCCTGGACGCGCGAGGACCCGCCTGATATGAGCACGTGCTCTACTGCCGACGCTTCGGTACTGCCTAGCCCGGGAGCGCCGCGCACGCCCATGCCTTGGCGGGTGGTGCCCTGCCTCGTCTCGATCTTCAATGCATTTCCGGCAAATGTGCGCGCCCCTTTGTTTTTCCCGTGCCGCCCCCGGCCGGCGCGGATACGCCGCAAGCCGATCAAAAGTAGAGGGATCTCACGGGCGGGTCTTGTGCCGCCCTTGTCGGGATTGTACGAGAGAGAGAGAGAGAGAGAGATATGCCGGAAATCCAGACCATAACCATAACCGTCGGCCGAGGCAGAGGGCGCGGTCCAGCCACGGAATCCGTGGTCGCCAAGTACAGCGCGGGCGAGTTAGGTAACTCGACCCAGGGAGGAACAGGCGGGCAAGCAGGCACCCTTGAACGAGGAAAAGGGATGCCAAGGGGGGGACCGTGGAAGTGGGGCTCCGGCTATCCTATCGCCGGAGCCCCGACAGCTGCCCTCTTGTCCCTGGCCACAGGCCAGGAACAGGGACCTGGGAAGCGGGTTGGCGCGTCGGCATGCTTGCCTCCTCCTCCTCCTCGTCCTACTCCTCGCCGCTCCGACATGGTCCGGGCGTGAGAGGGGCCCGATCGATGGCCGGGGCCCACTCCCGGTGGGAATGCTATTGTTGTTATTCCTGATGATCTGGACACGTGCCCCTTTAACCCAAAGGCCCCTCCCTGAAGGCAAGAGGATATGCCTCAAGCCTCGACGAGTGTCTCCGGCCATTGGTGATTAAGGTCCTTGCAAATAAAAAAGGCCAAAAATCCGGAACTTGGGAATACATTCGAGGGCATGCGCGAGGGCCGACGCTTTTCGCGGAGCCAACTTTGTCGCCTTCGCCGGCTATCGGAGCCTGCCTTATGGAAACCAGAGCATCCACCCTCCCCCCCCTCCCTTGGCGGACGGTGGCCGTTCTCCGCGCATGGGTCAGACTGCCTGGGGGTGCCCCGCCCGAGCGAGAAGCGGTGGGCCTGTTGTCGCGCCCGGGCCTTTGTTGATATCCCCTCCTGCCCTGGTGTGATGGCTTGGGAGCTGGATCCTCTTTCAGCGCCCCTCCTGGGATGGGGGACGATGTTGCATGTGCCAATGCCGATGGTGGTGCCGGTGCCGGTGCCGGTGCCGATGCCGTGCCCGGCCCGGCCCGGCCCCGGGAGAGATACCATCACCCGGGCTCAAGTGAGAGGGGGGGAGGGTGCCTTCCCCTCTTGAGTATCCTCAAGAGGCAAGGACGAATGCCTCTCGAATAGCCTGGTCGTTCCTTGGGCATACTTCGGCCCTGGGAGAGTGGTCGGGCCGGCTTCGGATGGACGCGTGTGTTATTGCCCGAGGGTTGCCTTCGTCCGACCTCCGGCGTGCCGGGGTGTTATGATTTCCCCAGCTAGTTCCGGTTGTGCTCCGATAAATTGGCCGTCACATTCTCCCGGCGTCTGTGTGGGGCCTCCCCCGCCTGGGACATGTCGCATCTCCGGGGGAGCGCTTCGTACATGGCTGTACCGTCGCCCTGCCCCCCCCCCACGTGGGGGAAACCGAACACTAGTGTCCCACCTATTCATCGGCCACCGCTCAACAGTCGCGATGTCCCCCCCCCCCCCCCGGTCGGTTTGCGCGAGCATGGAATCGGCGCCGGGGCACCTGCCGGGTGAGGGCCTCTTTCGGTCTCTGAGTGTGTTCAAGCAGCACCAAGTCTGGACAGCCAATCGACCTGGACTTCGGCCCGCATGCTGGGCGGGAAATTCCCGCTCGAAACGCCGGATCGACCGGCGCGCCGCCGCACCCTCCGACGCCCCCTCCGGCATGGATCACGGCCCTGAGGGCTCCTCCAGCATCGGGGTATCGCCGGGTACCGGAGGGCCTGACAAGCGAAAGCGTGCCCGGGTGTGCCGGGCGCCCTGGCGCCTGACCTGACACAAGGGAGCTTGGTGGCCGGGTCTCCTCGGTCCCCTCGGATGAGTCAGCGGAAACCGATCGATCAGAGCCCGGGGAGATGGCCCCCCCCCCCCCCCCCCCCCCCCCCCCCCCC